CACTGAGTCTTCTTCCATTTATCTGCAATCCTATCTCCTTCCATACTTTGCTTAATCCTTCAGCATCATCTCTCTCTCTTTGTTGATACTGCTCGAGAAGAGAACGATGTCATCCGCAAAATTCTTTGATACTGCTCGAGAAGAGAACGATGTCGTCCGCAAAACGTATCAATCTACCATCAACTCGTATGCTTCTCTCCTTCAATTCAGTAATTTCATCACCCACTGCAAGGCAGAACTGAATAGTTTCGGAGATTGTGTCGACTTGTCGGACCCTTTCCCAGTTGGGATGGTTAGGGCGGATGGAATAGCTGCCTCGTCGTTGTACAGTCGTTGTTGCAGTCGGCTGATGTCCTCAAGTAAGCTGGATCAACTCCTTGATCGACTAGCGTAGACAGGATGGCGTTGGCTTTGACGCTGTCAGAGGCTTTCTCGTAGCTGACGAAGGCTAGGACGAGAGGCAGTCGGTATTCCTGGTAGATTTCTATGACCCTCGAAACCGTCTGGACTTGGTCCATGCAACTGTATCCTTTGGGGAATCCAGCTTGTTCTTGATGCTGAACTTCATCCATTGTCCTAGATAAGCGAGCGAATATAATCTTCGTGAAAAGCTTGTAAAGCACACTCAGTGGGCATATTGACTGTAGTTTCGAAGATCCTCAAGTTCGGCCTTTCTGAAAAGAAGGACGTTCTCGATGTTTTCCGCTAATCTGGAATCTTCTCCTTTTGAGGATAAGATGTTAGATGGTTACGCTAGAACTTTGTGTAATCAGTGTTCTTCGGCTCGCAGAAGTTCGAGGGAAAGATTATCTGGCGGAGCCGTGGACGTCTTCATGGTCTGTATCGCGGTAAGCACTTAGCCGGTAGAATCCTTGGTGCTGCAGTGGGAAACGACGGGCATCGCAGGGGTGCTGATGAGCGGAAGAGGTTGGTGTAGGAGTTCTTCGCGAAATATTCCATCTTGTATCGGAAAGAAGTCGAGTCCCGTCTTTGTTCGTGCAGCGAGCGGTACGTGATATTCGCAGAGGTCCCTTCG